CCCGGAGCCGAGCCGCCTGCCCGCCCGGGGCGGGGGGACGCGCCAAGATCAGGGTCGGGGATGACAAGTGACTGTTGGTAACCTCGTGTGGACGATTCCCGGCTTTTCTCTGAATGTGTTGTGCCTTTTCTGGTGTTGTTTTGCTGTTACTGCCGCACAACCTGGTGTAATGTCTTTGTCTCTCCCCCCACACCCCATCCCGTGTGTTTCCTCCACAGCGGAGTAGCTTTGTCCAGAGCTCACTTTGAAAAACAGCCACCCTCCAACTTGAGGAAATCCAATTTCTTTCACTTTGTTCTGGCTCTCTACGACAGACAGGGGCAGCCCGTGGAAATAGAGAGGACAGCTTTTGTGGACTTTGTAGAAAATGATAAAGTAAGGCTTGTTATCTTTCTTCTTCCCCTTTTCCTCTCCAAATTTGCTCTGTTCTTCCCCCCCCGTTGAGCTGCTAACTTTTAACACCCATTGTCCCTAACAAAATACAACTAGCTCTCGATCAGGAATTCAGGTGCTTCGGTAGAGATGTTGCCCTCTGTGTGCTGCTGCAGTTAAAAAGGCTTGCAAGCCTCTGCTGTATCGGGGGTACAATGGGAATTTCATACACCCACTAAAAACAGAATAAAAAATTTAATAGGGGACAAATGCATGGTTTTGGGTTTGGTTTTTCTTTTTTTTTTTTTTTTTGGTACCTTGCAGGTCCCCAAGTTTTAAGTTTTATTAGTACCCTTACAGAACTGGGATCTGACCTGTAATGTGTCATATTATCTGTTGAGCTTGATTATTTGTATTTCTGAAGACTCCAAAGTCAGTAGCAGGACTTGAAAAGCATTTACTTTTGGATTTTAAATCTATGTGTTGACCACTTCACATTGTTTTACAATTCTTTTCTTAGTCATGGACAAGATTTTTTTAATTATGAAGGAAAGGATGCTCATACATAATTATCTTCTAGGAATTTACAATAAAAAGGCATGCAAGAAACATTCCTGTAACACAACCTTCAGGAAATAAATATCAATAATGACTCAACACTATGGCAAAGTAATTAACACATTAAAAAAAAAAATCCACTGAGCTTTCCCCCTATCAATCTGCTTTATATTAACTGACTTTAAATGTACAAATTCATCTCAGCATATTGCCTTGAAAAAGTTAAGAGTATAATAGCAAATAAGAGAGGAAAAGAAGTTCTTGAACTCCTACAGAAAAGATGTCAGCAGTATTTTGTAGTCTGTCCTGGGTCATTTGGAAGGTTAATATATCCCAATCAGTGGATTCACCTTTCAGAATTTTAATGAACTTTGTTGTCACTTCCATCATGATTATCAGCTCTTGCATTTTAAATGTGCCAAGTGTAGGTTCTGGAAGAATTTACTTTTTTATTTTTAAATTTTGTCTTTCAGGAGCAAGGTAACGAAAAGACGAACAACGGCACGCATTACAAACTCCAGCTCCTGTATAGCAACGGTGAGTCCCTTTTCCAGCCACCTTCTCTAGGTTGTACAAGCTTTGTAGGTGCTGTCACTGTGATTTCTAAGATACCCAGAAATTCCCTTGCACGATGTCCCTTCAGTGGAGGGACGAACTCTGAAGTTTACCTGGTGTGGATGGGCTTGGGAAACACACAAGAGGAAACAAAACTAACTGGTCTTTCTGAGCGTGTTTGATAAGGCACTAGATGAAACTAAATGTTCCTGTTCTGATGTTTGGGGAAAGGTGTGTGTAACAGCATCACTTACTGCTCTTCTCTCTCGCTCTAGGTGTCAGGACTGAACAGGATCTGTACGTTAGACTCATCGATTCAGTCACTAAGCAGGTGAGTGTAGCTAATATGTGCCGTGCTATCCTTCCTTTTTTCTTAACATTGCCCTGCATGCTTTTTCTTCTCTGGTTCTTTTTTTGTCTCACGTTCATCTGTATTGCAGACCTTATTTTTGAGGGCAATTGAAAAGTAATGCTCTTAAGTCTCTTTCCTCTACAAATTGTAGGTTTTTATCCACTTTTTATCAATATTTATGTATAAGCTGCTTTTCCTGTTCATAAAGGCTTTAGGGGAAGGTATTTATTTACAAGTGATAGTGAGCAATGGTAAAAAGCCTTCACCTCAGATCTGAATATTATGACAAATAAGTAACCCCCCTGACGCTACTGGCTTACCCCTTCTCTTAATTTTTGTAGCCCATAACTTACGAAGGACAGAACAAGAACCCTGAAATGTGCAGAGTTTTGCTTACCCATGAAGTCATGTGCAGGTAAGATGACTTCAGTTACAGCCTGTCATTTGTGAAGTTTGTTTTCATAGATGTCAAAATGGCCATTCCAGTGAAGTTGTAGGTAGGAAGAGTTTGATTTTTTTGTTTGTTTGTTTGTTTTGTTGTTGAGTTGGGGAGATTCTTTGTGTAGGAAGACTTTCTTTTTACACATGGATGTTTGATTTGGGTTGTTGTGTGTTGGTTTTTATTCTTTTTTTGTTTTTTTTTTTTAACTGCAAGAGATTTAGCAACCCCAGCTCCACAGTCTGAGCTGCACTATTTTTGTTTAAACTAGGCCTTTTTATGTGTTGTTTCAATCCAGACTTTTCATATGCTTATTTTTTTTACAAAATTCTTGTTCTCCTTTTAGCAATGAGCAGTTTCACTCTCTAGGTAGAAATCTGTAGGTATACTTTGTGTAATTTACTCTGGTGAAATATTTTAATTTTCTTAATTAAAATATCATCATTAATATTCTTTAATTTTGCTTAGTTCTACCCCAACCAAAAAAGAAACCCCTCAGAGCGAAACACGCATCCTTCTTTTCTATAATACTGTGTAAGCAGTATTTAGGGGACTTCCACCCTTTAATTAAAAAAGGCACTAATGTAAAGTTATAAATTAGAGGGTAAAATGAGTTGAGGATGTTTTTAATAACATTTGTATAAGTCTGAAGTTACATGTGCCTTACTGTATGTACATCGTGCTTCCATGGTAACTTATTACTTTTCCTGTTCTCATGTAATTAAATTTTATTCAATACATATAACAATGCAAACAGTCAATGTTCTTATATTAAAATGTGCTAAATCGTGCATAGAACGTTCTTTCATAAAATGAAAGGCAAAACCAATCTCGACCTTTATTTAAACACAGTTTATGATTTATTTTATTAGTGGGAGGGGGTTAAGCAAGTTGAACATTGCTTCTTTTAATGTTGCAGTTTGCTCCTTGATTTTATTTATTTTGGGTTTTTTTTTAAGGTAGCCTTTTAAATTAATATAGTAGTGAGAGCAGCTTAAGTGGACAGACAACTTGTCAAGGGAAAGTCTTAGTTTCAGTACTTAATTATGTCAACTATTCCATTACTTTTTAAATACAGTAAGAATCAAGTAAATGTACAATGTTTATCTGTTTTTCTTGGCTCTCATTAATTACTCTCATTAATTAAGAGAATAAGCATTGTTATTTTTGACCAGTGTTCACATACGTACGCACAAACACAGCGTATGTAAGTCTCAGTGATGCGTACGGTGCACTTCACGAGGGCCTGCAGATGTAGTAGCAAAGATCAAAGGTATAGGTATTACTTTTTGGTACATCTAGAACTTAGGTATATATTTAAATATATATGCTAACCATATTGTTGAAAGTCTTCACTATAAGTAGGTGAACACTAAAGAAGAAAAATCTTTGAGTTACTGTGCAGCTGGGTGCTGGTTGTAACAAATAACACTTAGCAAATACCTGCGTCTTTCTCCTCTCTTCTGTACAGAGTGCAGTTCTATTTTAGAAGTTAAAATACATCAGCACTTTCCCATCCAAATGTACTCATTTAAAATAAAATTAATTTGTCTTTTTCCCCTTCTTCCTGTCCGTGTCTTTATAGTATCAAATGCTCTGTTCAGTTTTTCTCTACCTGGCCTCCACTGATGCCTATAAACATATTCCGTGCTTGATTTAAGGTAGTGTTCTACAAATGTAAACCATTATTCTGATTACACTGAACTTTCCTGCTTGATAGATTAGCGAGGAAGAATTACAACTCGGGGACATCCTTTCCATGTAAAACACAGATTAGTGAACAAAATCAAAAGCACTCTGTAACCTAATCACGACATTTGATTTTAAATGTCGTGTTTTCCTAAAGTATCTCTGAACAGGATGCTTCGTATTCCGAAGAGGCATTACACATATCACTTTGAATAATGCCAAGGGAATGGATCCAACTCTAGTTAAACTTGACATTTTATTTTATTTCTTTTAAGTACAATAATCAAATCTTCCTCATTGTGTGCCGCTTAAGTGGCAGCATCAATTTTTAAAGCCTCTAGTTTAGTTTGCATTACTAAGAGTGTATGAAAATTTAATGCACGGTACCCACTCTGCTGTCCAAATTGATGCCTACTGTTTTTAAAAAGAAGGACCTGCCTGTCTTTCTGCTCCTCTTCCAATCCTCACTAGTTGAAGGTAGGCTTTTTATTTATTTTATATTTATTTTTTTGTATATTTTGGTATGTAATCACACATGCAGATATTCTTGCTGTATAGAGACAAGTGCATCCGAAACGCCGCGTCTTCCACTCGGTGACAGATGCATGCTTAGCAGGAAAGTTGTCTAAATATTGATACGGCTACACCAATCTGTCATAGCAATTGGAAGTTAAACTCTCAATAATTAGTGCTTGCAGCGAGAGGCTCTATTTATTTATTTGCAGATCAGAAAATTTTTTCATTTGGGTTATTATGGCCTAGTGGGAACTGTTCCTATTAGGTGGATCTCTCTTAAATACACAGTGTTTCCCCCCAATGGGTGGAAATCAAGGTAAACAGTCTCCTCTCCTGGAATAACTTTTTTTTATCTTCTTCCTTTCTTCCAATTATCGACTAAGAGGAAACTAGTTGTTATGCTGCTGCCAGCAACCCCCTATGCCCTCAATGCTCAGAGGGTTAAAAGGTATTATAATTTGAACAGAAGTAGTCTCAGGGCCTACAGCTGGCTAATAACAGAGTTGTATTGAGTGCAGGCAAGCCCCACAGCTGTGACTTTCGCCACAAGGCTCAGACTAGACAGGAGCTCTAATCAGCTGGGCCAGGCGGCCACTGGGGCCTGTGTCTTTATCGGCCAGATGGTGTGAATTTAGACACTTTTGTTATGCAATTGCAGGGAGGAGTTGGGGAGAAGAAAACAAAACAAAGGCCACCATGCTGTGAGCTTATTTGAGTTTGAAATTAGAGACAGATTTTTTTTTTTTTTTTTTTTTTTGGTATGGGGGTGAGGGGAGGGAAGTTGAGGGTTGAATTTTAAAACCATTTTAGTCAAGTGTGAGGAGGGAAAGGATGCAAGTTTGCCTTTGACATGAGTCTTCTAGAGTATTCACTTTGTAGATCTGGTGTTGTCTGTGGTAGCTTTTTGGTTTCTGTGTTTGTTTTTATTTATTTTCAGGACTGTTCTTAATGTAAACTATTATTTTTCCTATGTAGATCTAGTTAGAGGGGAAAGTCTAATAAGAACATGTGTAGAAAATAGAAGTCTTAGGCCTTGACATTCTTGTTTTAAGCAAATGAGCATCTCTAAAGGTATGTTCCTAACACGATGTTGTACCAGAAGGGTAAATATTGGTGAAGTTGCACCAGTAATTTACTTTAAGAGAATATTGTAGGCTTCATCCTGGGCCCACTAGACTTTGGGATTTTTGCCACTGACTTAAATTGGAACAAGTCAATTCTGTTACAGACAGCACTTGTAAAACAAACCCAGTGGAAATGTTAGTGCTTGGATACTGTGATGAAATACTTGAAAACAGGGATTTAAAGATTTGAGAGGTACTTTTGCTAAAATGCTGGGCTGAAACAGCCTCAGTCTTTAAAAGCACTCTGATTTATGTATGAACTAATCATTCACTGGAAGTGAGTGACTGTTTTCCCTAATCAGGAAATTTTTTTCATACATGTTTGGGCTCAAAAAGTATTATGGTCAAAGGGGAAAAAAAAAATCTAACACTCTAACAAAAATATTTTACCTGAGTGTGATAAGAATGTAGATATTTGTAAAATATTTTGAGAACTTTAGCTATAAGCCACAGGATTTTTTTTCAGAAGGAAAATTTAGTATTACAAATGTAAAGTTCCTAACTGTGATAATTGTGCAAACTGAAAGAAAAGAAGATGGGCTTATTTCAGAATCCAGCCAGGTTGTACTCCAGTATCACATAATTCATTCTAAAACACTTACTCTAGGCCAGGAGAAGGCCACCTCTCTCGTAAGAGTATATGAGCTAGTGAGACATGGTGGAGGAATTGCCAGTGTGTTCTGCTTGGATGTTAGGATGGTGTAGTGCAATCAGGAATATTTGTTATGCCCATCTGCATAAGTTACACGACACAGGGATATCTCATTTAGTGTTACTGCAAAGAGAGGAAATGACTGCTGCTTCAGCTAGTTGTATAAAAACAGCAGCAAAACCAACAAAACACTACAAAAATATTTTAAAAAAATTAGTTCCTTTTGTTGTGTCATTAGAGCAGCATGTAAACCAGCAAGGCATTTATTCCTGGTGCTATTTCCAGTGCATTGTTTTATTGGACATGTCAGAAGTCCATGCCAAATTTATATTCTTCTGAGTGAGGGTTTTCTGCTTTTTTGGGGGGTTTATTTTTTTTTTCTTTAGAAAATATCTCACATTTTAGCTTTTAGCTTAGGAAAATAAGGAATTCTTTATACACAATCATTAGGCAGTGAAATGCACAAAAGATGCACTTAAAACAAAGTTGGGAGAAGGAGGGAGTGGGGATATTCTCAGCTAGTGAGAATTACCATAGCTTCACTGAAGTCGATGGAGCTATGACAATTTACAGCAGCTAGAGGGTCTGCCCCAGGGATTTTTAAATATTTAGTGTATCCTTTTATTTTAAAAGGACTAGCATCGATGAGTAAGTGCAGGTTTGAGGCAAAGGGAATGTAGAAATGTTGAAACAGTTAAAGCTGCTATTCAAATAGATCTGCTAGTTGTATCTCATCTTGCTGGGCAATTGCAGCTTGCAAATGGGAAGTTCCTGGCACACACTTCACTTAAGGAGAAAATGCAGGCATTTGAAATTTTTCATATCTGAAAGAGGGGTTTTTTTTTTGTCTCAATGCTCATTTTAGGTATTTATAATTGACTATTAGGCATTTCAAGAAAAAAAGCTGCTCTTTAATATTTTCTACTCCCTTCAGTGAATTCAAGCATTTTATTTATATTTATTTTTTAATTCCTCTGCTTGGAATTGCTCCCCAGTTGGAAAACTGTGGGACTCAGACTGACTTCAGAATTTTGCAGATGTATCCAGCACATATTATACCACTGCACAAAAACCCAAACAATTTCTTTATTTGAACAACCTCAGCAGAATGTGAAAAACATAATTTGGAAAGACATTTGTGTCACTTAAGGCAGAATCTGATCTGGTGACTTCTGTGGCATATGGGACTTCTGACATAGTCCAAGTTTTGGATGCCTCCATCTTCCCTCTCACATATTATGTTTGGTTGGAACAAACTATCTGAGCATCAAGACAGCTTACATCTCCTAACAGACAACTGTGTTGCTACAGATTTTTAAAATTGAGAATTTCAGAGCAAGGATTGTTTTTAAAAGTTGTATTAAACTTTTGATACTCGGCTGGTGTATATGCAAGGAGCATGACCCATGTCAGTGAGTGTAGCAGTGGAAATCAAATAATGACCTGTCTTTTATTGTTTGTTTATTATTATTATTATTGAAAATGAGAAAAGGAAATGTAGCTTTCCTGAAGAAAGCTTCATTCCCTGTGAGCAAAGAACATCAAATAGTTCCTGAGTGTAGGTTGTATTCTTCTGTACTATCTCCTATCTTATAGTGGCCTTCCAATACCTGAAGGGGGCCTACAAGAAACCTGGGGAGGGACTTTTTACAAAGGCAGAGAGTAACAGAACAAGGGGAAATGGGTTTAAACTGGAAGAGGGGAGGTTTAGATTAGATGTGAGGAAGAAATTCTTTGGTGTGAGGGTGGTGAGACAGTGTCCCAGGTTGTCCAGAGAAGCTGTGGCTGCTCCTTCCTGGAAGTGTTCTCGGCCAGGCTGGATGAGGCTTTGAGCAACCTGGTCTAGTGGAAGGTGTCCCTGCTGCTGGCAGGGGGGTTGGGACTGGATGAGCTTTAAGGTCCCTTCCAACCCAAACCATTCTATGATCTTCTGGTGTATCTCTGTGTATGTACACATCTGTACGCACACACACACACACACACACAGTTATCTTTGTGTACGTATGTGTGCATGCACACACCCTGGATGCTGACATAATAACACGAATATCATTCTGTATTATGCACCTTACCACAAGCTCCTGAGGGCAACAGCATTAGCTGACATTTTTTTTTTACCAAGTGAGATAAATATATTTAATTAACGTTGTGAGCTCATCAGAAAGAGTTCTAATTTCTGTACAATCATGTTGGTGGCCATACAGTGTAAAATGTGTATAAATACGTGCTTAGTCTTAAGGGCTTATCATCCCTGAAACAATTGCAAAGGGATTAACAGGTGAAATGGCAACCTGGAAAATATCTCTTCAGATCCTTAGTGGGATCTAAGTATGTTCAGTTTCTGTTTTTTTATTGCTGCTACTATAATGTTGAAGTTTTCTGTGGGCATATGAAACTTGAGGGTTGCTAGATATTTAATAATCAATAAAGCAATTATTAGACTATAACTAATCAGTAGGTTGCTTATAGTCAGTTCTAACACCTTCTTTTGATGGGCTTTTTTATCATACATAACACAAGATACTCATGCCTGTAATGTCATTATGACATCTGTTAATTGTTTATTAAGCCTTTATAAATAGTGCCTTAGTCTAAAGTGTGACCATATTGCTGTTCATTTTTGTCTAGGAATTTTAAAAAAGACTACTGGGAGCCAAGTGCCAAACTCCAGCTGGAATTAACTGGATTTGAGCACCCCATTCCCTTAGTTCTTCTCCCTTCCAGAAAGCCTAGCCAGAATTTTTTCAGTTGCTCTCTAGGCATATATCGAGTCCTGACAGTTTGCAGACAAGACTTTTAGCTGTTTGCTTTGCTGTCAGCTGTCCCAGTAATTATTTCATTTTGGTTTTCATTCTCTCTCTAGTCGGTGCTGTGAGAAGAAAAGTTGCGGCAACAGAAATGAGACTCCATCTGACCCCGTAATCATCGACAGGTAGGACACAAATCCTCATTTTCCCACAAAAGCAGCAAAATTTCCCACAAAATTGTTGTGTGTGCTTTGAGGTGGCTGAGGGTCTTTCTTGATGGTTATCTCAGTGTCTGCCATTTGGTGATGTCTGTGGTTCTTTAGAAAAATGCTCACTTAAGTTTACTAGCTTTAGTCCATCTGGACTTACCTTGACAAAATTGTTGATGTTGATTTTTTTAAATGAAGTTCTCTGTGTGTCGTTTTCATTTTGACCAAATATTCCACATATGTATCTGGAATATTTTCTATTCAGCAGAGATATGACTCAACTGGATTACTGAGACAAATAAAGCTTTAAGCAACCTGGGAGCTTCAGTAAAATTCTTTAACAAAATAACAATATTTTAGTACAAGTGTGGGGAGGAAGGAAGGGGTAAAGGCAGAAGTGCAACATATTAGGCAGGATTAAAACTGATGGTTTGGGAGTTGTGAGCAATTCTGTGTAGAACAGCAGCTTCGTGTATTACTGGTTTCCAGATCCACATCTAGGCTCTGCTTGCCACTTTCTAGGTAAATAACATAAATAGGGAAAAGTACCAGTTTGTTAAATCATGAACTGCTACATAAAAATTGTTATTTGTGGGGGCTTAGAAAACGACCCTGTGGAGCTCACTGACTCCAAGTGGTGTTTAAGATCTGGAGTTCAGCAAGATTCAAAAAGGAAAACTAAGAATAGACAGAGCTGTTTGAAAAAGCACACAACCAGGATTTCCAGAAGGAGAACAGTAAATAAGGAAAAGTCAGGACGAAACCTTTTCCCTCCCCAGATTATTCTGTAGTAACTGTTCAAAGAGTTTCTGTTCCCTAAAGCAGCTGGTATAGCAGGGGCCAGCGGAGACCTGATGCTGAAGTGGATTGCGTGTGCATTCAGTTGTTATGTCTGTTATGTGTCTGGCATGTTCTCTCTACATTCTAATGAGCATTATTTGTCACAGTATTTCTCATGAATTTGTTTTGGCATTCAGAATGGTCAGGCTGGTTTGAATAAAGATCCACAATTATTTCCATCATTTTTTTCATCACAGAGTAATAATAATAATAATAATTTTGGAACTTTGATGATGTGATGGTGTTCTTCTACTCCCTTTACCCCATGGTTTTCCCTTTTAATTTTGTACTTACAAGTTGTGGTTGGGGCCAAAGTTGGAAATCCCAGAAAACAGGGCTGTTCGTGTGGGGGTGTGTATGGGGGGGCAGTGTCCTGACTAGAAGCAGAAGTCCTAGATGTGCCATCTTGACCTTTTCTATGAAATTTCTAGCTTATTTTTGGCTGTGTTCATGTTTGGTATGAATCTGCATTTGGGAACTTTCCAGTATGAAGTCTGAATTTTCTGAAGCTGACTGCTGGAGAAGCAGCATGACGTAAGGTGGGATATTGGAGCCTATGAGTTCAGACCATGAAGAGGGTAGTTCCTACCACTACCTGAATTAGTCATCTTGAGCAAGCTGTCCATTCTCATGCAAAATGAAGATTCCAGTGCTTTCTGTGGGGATTTGAGATCTGTTAATGTAAAATGCACTGGAAGTGAAACTATTAGAAAGAACAGGGTTCTTCTTTTTAACAACTATGTGTAAAATGTGCATCACAAGTAATATGTGGTCAATGAGTCCTGACCTTTCCTACCTTGCTCTAAGCCTAGAACTTTATTGTAACTCCCCTGCTAGCAGCGATAGGCGTTCTGCCTGTGGGCATTGCTTTGGTGTGGAAGCATCCTCTAGGTTCAGCCTGGCAGTTTCTTGTCGAGTGTCAGTCGTTCTCTTTCATCTGTGTGTGTGTGTGTCTCAAAATTGCAAGCCAAATCTGGAGTTTAGGAGGGGTAATAAAGGGTAGATGAGAGAAATAAGGGGTACAGCCCAATAAAGCTGTTTCACTTGGCTTTAAAAACAGTCACTAAATCAGATTTAGGCCACAGAGGAAAAAAAAATGATTATAAATCTGCACTGCTGTCTGGAGGTGGCATGAATAGAAGCTAAACCTCTTTCTTGTTCTACTGCCAATGAGTCATGCAGCATCTAGCAAATGACTCCCTCTTCTGTACAGGTATTTCAATTCCACCACTTTACCCAGTTAAACAAGGTGTGAGGAGTGAGGGATAATCCTGTGTACTACATCTTAATCAACATATGTAATGCAAATATAATAACAAAGTTATGCTGTACATGTCTGTGCACAGAGGAATTCATTGTCTGGTCTGTCATCCTCAGACTTTTCCACAGCAGTAACTACAACTACTTAGGAGTTTAACTGAGCAGTCCACTCTCCCAAGCTACATTCAGTGGGACTAATCTTTCTCTCTTTCAAAGAAGCACAAAACTCTGCTGAAGAGTCATGTGTGTTCTGAACTAGCTTGGGAATCTGGGCAGTAATGTTCTTATTTATTTAGGGGATCTTTACGTGGCTGCTTTAGAAGCAAACATCTATGCTTAAGAACTTGGTACAGGAGGAATATAATTTCTGCAATGCAGTTTGCAACCATCTGCCATCACGCAGGCTAATAAATATGATAAGATTGTTCAGTTCAGTGTTGCCTTCGTCCTTCGTGGTGGGTTTTTTCCTTAGTTTGAAATGAACTACGGGTTTTTCTTTAAAAATAAAAAATAATTGGAATTGAGTTTTTTCCATTGTTTGAAATGATAGGTAAATGGAAAAATTTGTAAAGTAACAACACAGCTGTTATATTGTCACATGTCTCTAGAGAAGTGAAAAAAAATGTAAAATGCAGAGAGGAGGGATGACAAGAATACAGTTGTGTTCTGCAGAGCCGTGTCTAACCAGTGTGTGTGAAGTGAGACTAGAGCTTTCCATTTAGAATAGCAGGAAAATGGAGGCCAGAGCAGAAGCTGGTTGTCTGGAGGTGCTGGGCTCTCCCTTTGGGCCTGGGTTAATTAACATGCATCGCTCCTGCTGCAGGAGTCTGGGAGAAAATTGTGGCTGGCACTCCGGAGGTGCCGTCTGCATTGTAATTCCAGCTGTGTGTGGGGACCTACATGGGAACATGGTTTGATTGTACAGCACAGGAAAGACCAACATCTTCAAAGCTATAGTAGGTGACTGTCAGAAGGTGTGAGATAAGAGACAGAACCCTGTTTAGTTTGAGCTGTGTATAGCTTAGGTCTAGCAAGTTCTGTGTTTGATTTGCAGCTCTCACAAAGGCAGTGGCCTGCTCAAGTGTACAGGGTTTGGGAGGGCACCATGTTACTAATGTCTAAGCTACTTTCATAGAATTGCCTGGTTGGAAAAGACCTCTGAGATCATCGAGTCCAACTGTACCTGTCCACTACTAACCCAGATCTCTGAGCACCCCATCTGCCCGGCTTTTAAACACCTCCAGGGTGCTGTCCTGTACAAGCAACCTGTGCCTGGCAGACGGGTTCCCTCAACAGCAAAGGAGCTGCACGGTGCAGGGGTTGAGAGTCCAAGGTGAAGCAAGCTCTGTGTGGTGCTCAGCGATATGCTCCTATCATGAGAGGGCACGAGTTAAATTAACTACTTTGGGTACCTCTGAGGAGGTGAAGAAGCAAGGAGAGGCATTGCTGCTAGGCAGAGATAGACACCGAGGTACGTGCTGCTGCAACTTCAGTGGTTTTCTTTCTTGCCTCTGCTAAGTGGCTGCATCTGCTATGTCTGTCTGTGCTGGGATTGCTCACTTCTGACCATGCTATAGATGTGTCCTACACACCTCATGAGACTAATGAAGCATGCAAATCAGTCGAGGTTATAACCTGCCATCCAGTGTTGCACTGAACTAAACATGCACCAGGTTTAGCTGAGTTCAGGGACTACGTTGTGAGTTGCTGCAGATGAACATAACTCCATCAGCAGAACGATGTTTTCCACTTTGTTTCTCCCCACACTTCCTTGCTTCTAAGCACTTCTCGATGCTTAGACCACTGTGTTCATTGACCTGTTTATTGCTGGAGGGGCACAATTCATTGGTGTTTACCAAATCATAGAAACTTGTATCCCTGTTTAAAAAGGAAGAAATAGTTCAGTGGGAAAAAAAAAAATGACAGCCATGTTGTTGTTGTTGGGTTTTTTCTTCTCCTTGAATGAATTCCAGAAGTTCTTATGCTGAATAAAACATTTCTGCTGTGACCTTTGCTCTGAGGACTAGATTTAGATCCTAAGGGCCTTGCAGTTATTTTTCCATTCACTCTTGGAAACCAGCACTTTTCTATATGAAAGGGAGCTTCTTCACTGAAATCTACTGTGTACGCTCTCCCACCAACAAATATCTGTAGGGCACATGAGAGTATTTAGGTTCTTGCAATGTTCTGAGTCTGAATTCCAATGTAACTTGGATCAGAATGTGATTTCAGAATGCTGCCTCTGTTTTACCAGCCATGATACAGCTCAAATCCTGCAGCACTGCTATTGCAGGCAGCAAAAAGCAGAACCAGACGTGACTCCACTGGAGCGTAGGGCTGGAAGGACCAACCTGAACATACCTGGTAGATTGCAGGATTGATGGTTAGTCCAGAAGCATTAGCAAAATATGCACTCCATGTTTTTTAGACAGCACAAGCCATGGTCACTTCTCAAAACGTTAGAGCAAACTCTTAACTTTGCCTACAAGATCAAAATTAATCAGAGCTAAATTGATTCCCATGATGGATCACAGCACTGGTGGATTCCCAGTGATCTCAATTTCTATTTATCCTGTCTTCCTGCTTAGTTTTTGATGTTAGTACCTGTGGAATTGGTAGGTTTATGAGACTTCAGGAACGTAAATGTTTTTGTTTCTTTTTCTCATGGCTGAAGTGATGGTTCTTAACATTTCTTGTAGCTCCTGGAAATTAGAGTGTGAACTTTGCATACTAACATTTTCCTTCTTCGTTGAATTGGTAGGTGGGGATATGAAGTAGGTGGGTTGGGGTGGCTTTCAGAGTGGAAGCTTGTTCTTTTGAAGATGATACTTCCCAAATGAAAGCTCTGTTTTCTCAAGCCTGTACTATAATTACTTAGTT